GTGAGTCACCTAAAGCCAGTATACTGTGTTAACTAGAGATTGGGTATTTTGAAGTTAGTTTGGTGCTGAGGTGTTGTATTTTCTTTATTTTTAAATCCTAACTATGTGTTCTTGTTTCATCTTAGAGTGATGCATTGTTCCATATTTTTTTTTTCCTTTTTTTTTTTTGGCGCTGGCTGGTATGGGGATCCAAACCCTTGACCTTGGTGTTACAAGGCCATACTCTAACCAACTGAGCTAACCTGCCCATCGTTCCATATTGGTGTTAGAATTAAAGTTTGTTTTTCCTTTCCTCCCCTCTTTTGGTATAACGTGCTTCAGCTGGATGGTGTGCCACGGTTGTACCTGTCTAATCACTTGGTCTGTGACTCAAGAGTTACTAAGGTCTTGCAGTCTCCCTGAGGAAGATTGTTAGAGTGAGGGGTTGATAACACCAAGGTCCAGGGTTTGATTCTTCCCTGTTACTGGCCAGCCGCGGGGGGAAAAAAAAAAAAAAATCCTAGTGAGGAACTAAGCAGCTCTGAGGCAATGTGAATTACAAACTTAATCCTGTCACAGGGAAGGTAAGCTTTATGCACACACTTCTGAGAATGATATTGCATTGAAAAGTTTTCGCCCTCTGTCTTGAGTGGGCATGGGTGATCTTTCTTGGGTACTTTAGTTCCCGTTGTTGCCTTTTATTAGTGAGACACCTCAGAAATATCTCAAAACTTTCCATCTTCAGTCAATGACCTATTTAAATTCAAGCGATATGTTATTTGATTCTCTTAATTCTTGGGAGAAGGTTGGAAAGTGTCCCCCTTGGTTGAACATCACATGAGATGGCAGTAGCAGAAGTGATTGTTGGTGTTGGAGTTGGCATATTTTGGTTTCTGAAGCCATGGGCAGATGGCTTATGAAGTTTTTAAATTAAAGTGCCTTCCCTTTCTTTTTTTTTTTTTTTAAGATGACTGGTAAGGGGATCTTAACCCTTGACTTAGTGTTGTCAGCACCAAGCTGTCCTGAGTGAGCCACAGGCCAGCCCAAGTGCCTTCCCTTTCATGGCTTCAAGAAAATTGAATTTTGACTAATTATTACTATTCATTTTTCACAGAATAAAACTCAAATATTTATGTTTAATTTCCTGGGTGCCTTTAATTTTGGGGGGGAGGGGTTTGGCCGGTATGGGGATCCGAAACTGTGACCCTGGTGTTATATAACACTGTGCTGTAACCACCTGAGCAAACTGGCCAACCAGTGCCAATCTTTAAATGGTTTCCTACTACTTCCCAGTTTCCAAAATGAATAGAGCCCTGTAAATGTGGTAAGTTTTTGGATATTGAAACAATTATTCAGAGATTACTTTGGTTTTTGGCAGTTTTACTATGGTATGCCTACGTGTGGATTTCTTCCCTTTTTTTTTTTTTTTTTTTAAAAAAGATGACCGGTAAGGGGATCTTAACCCTTGACTTGGTGTTGTCAGCACCACGCTCAGCCAGTGAGCGGGAACCGGTCTGTATGTGGGATCCGAACCCTCAGGCGGGAGCGCCGCCGCGCTTCCCAAGCGGCGCACTTATCCAGTGCGCCACCGGGCCGGCCCAAACATTTATTACTTTTTTTTTTTTTTTAAAAAAGATGACCGGTAAGGGGATCTTAACCCTTGACTTGGTGTTGTCAGCACCACGCTCAGCCAGTGAGCGGGAACCGGTCTGTATGTGGGATCCGAACCCTCAGGCGGGAGCGCCGCCGCGCTTCCCAAGCGGCGCACTTATCCAGTGCGCCACCGGGCCGGCCCAAACATTTATTACTTTTACAACATTTCTTTCACTTTGTAAATGTTTTAGAGCATTATACATTAATGTCCATCAGGCTTTTTATATTTATGACATTTGTAGGATTTCACTGCAGTGTAATTTTTCACATGACTTATAAAGTAATTGGTGAAATTTGAAACTTTCCTATATTTTTAAAACTGATGGGGTTTCAATCCAGGCTACATTTTGTACATGTTTTTGTCGGTATGTGGGCCCACTGAAGGCTTTTCCACGTTCCTTAGCGTTGAGCACTTTTATCCAGTGTGAGTTTTTTCATGCTTTTGATAGAGACTGGAACAAATGAAACCTGTATGACATTGTTTACGTTCATAGGGTTTTTCTCCAGTTTGGGTTCTTCATAACTTTAGATGAACTGGAATAGTCAAAGGCTTTTCCACATTCCTTACATTTATAAGGTCCATTTCCAGTGTGAGAAATGAATGCTTTCCCACATACCTTACTTTCATAGGGTTTTACTCCGCTGTGAGTTCTTTCATGTCTTCAAAGGGGAGTGGAAAACCTAAAGTCTTTCCCACGTTCCTTACAGTCACAGGGTTTCTCTCCAGTGTGAGTCCTGTCATAAATTCGAAAAGAGTGGCAGTAACTAAAGGCTTTCCCACATTGCTCTTGTTTATATCTTCATATTCCTGATTTTTATATAGTTTGGGTCCAGTGTGAGATGGGATGTGCTTATGAAGAGATGAATGACACATGCACATTTTTTCACACAAACTACATTCACATACTTTTACTCCAGGAGGACTTTTCTCCTTCAGGTTAAGATTTGGTAACTGGCTGAAAGTTTCTCCACAGTGATGACTCTCCACTTTGACTGACTTTGTCTGTAATATGATTGCTTGCCTTAGACTTCTGTGATTTTTGTACTGATCTTCAGTGTTCGCCTTCCCTTTTTTTTTCCCTATAAGTTTGCAAAGATTTCCCCCATGACATCTCTGTAGAGTTTTTTTGGGGAATGATCCAGCATAGCCCACTCCTCCAGGGTGAAGTTCACAGCCACATCCACAAAGGCCATTGAGCCCATTTCCTGGCTTCTGGGTGTTCCGACATCCTCCCTACGGCTCCCCCAGTCAGTGCAGGTCTCAGTGCCACAGAGGTTGTGGCAGAGCCTTGGTTTTCTTGTATTTATCCTGCTTGATGTTCCTAGACCTTCTTCAATCTGTGGGTTGATACCTTCAGAAGAAGTTTTGGAAAATACTTGGTCAGTATTTCTTCAAATGTTGATTCTGCTTCATTTTTCCTCCTCTCCCAGGTCTTCAGTTACACATATGCCAGACCTTTTTCATCATGTGCCACATGTTTCTTATGCTCTTTTATGTAGTTCTCATTTTTTTCAATCTGGAGGGTTTCCCCCACCTTTTTTTATGGTGATAATTTTAAGCATTCATAATTTTCATCCTTCATCTTTTCTCCATATCAGTCTTCCAGTTCACTAGGTAATTAATTCACTTTCCTAATCTGTGTCTAAACTGCTGTTAAACTCATCTATTAAATTCTTAGTTTTGATTTGTTTTTTATAAATTCTGGTTCTTTGGTGATAGTGTATCTTTTCATTTATTTTCTCAAACGTATAAGTCAGTCGTTTTAATGTCAATATCTGATAACTCCAGTTTGGATTACCTATGGGTCTATTTCTATTCTCATTTGTGGAACATTAGGTTCTGTTTTCTGTCATGCCCAGTAATTTTTGTTTGAAAATTTAGATGATATTTTCTTTTGAGAGTGGATTTAACTTTCTTCTAGGAGACAGAGTCTGAGCAGATCACCTTGATCAGGAGAGGTGATTTCTTTTTGGTTTGCCCATATTCCCAAGGCATGACCTTTGGGAGATCTCAAAAGCTTGGGGTTTCCAGGGATGCTCCTGTTATTAGGCCCACAGTTTAAACTTTGTCTCCCTAGCACTGAGAGACTGCTGAAATATTTGCTCAGAAATATTAGAGGCTTCAGGAAGAAGCCACCAGTAGTAGCTTCTTCCTGCCTGAATTTTTTTTTTTTTAGAGTTTTGCCCTGTGTATATAATTTGCAGGTGCAAGTACCTGCCTCAAGTCTCAGAGCGCAGCCTTATAACACTAAGATCACGGGTTTGGATTCCCTTACTAGTCAGCTGCCAAAAGAAAACACACACACACACAAAACCTACCTCAAGAGGAAAGGGCACAAATGCTGGGCTCTTTTCAGAGCTGTTTCCTCCTACCGCTTTCTAGGATTTTGGTTCCTCAAGTCCTGGTTGCTTCGGTTGCTCTCATCACAGAAAACTCTTCAAACAATTGCTTCTTATATTATGTCTTTTATAGTTGTTCTTAGGAGGACGATTTGTTTGGAACAGCTACTCCATCACAGACAGAAAGTTCTTCATGGATTACTTTGCCTTGTAAAAATTAAAAGCTAGGTTTATTGAAGTTAACATTTCAAACATTTCACAAGGTGTTAAGTTCACGTAAGGTTTTACTCAAGTCTTTTTAAAGGGCCTATTGTAACTTGTTAAATGAAAATTTTAAAACTTCATTTGTAAATTTAAAACTTAAAAAGTCTTTAGCTTGCTTAAGGATTGGTTTGATTTACTTAATCATTTTCATACTTAATTTTAAATCTTCTAAAATTTAAATATGCTTGCCCATTAAGGAAATGATTATGTCGTTGCAAATAATTTTGGATTTTACCTTCTTAGGTGATTAAAGGTGCATAACAACTAAAGATGTAAAGTCTGGATCTATATTCTGAGAAATTTCTCCTGTCCTGACTGCTTGGCTGAGCCCCTTTTGGTAATAATGGTGTCATAAACTCCAAATTAAAAAACAAAAAATACAGGGTGTGTGATGCTGGTTATGTAGTCTGTCTTTGAAGGTGAGTTGTATCATACTGTGCTGTTCAAGCCAGACAAGTGCAACCCCCACCTATCTTTTTCCTGTTTCATGAGTTTTGAGTAATTTTCATACTCTTCTTTTACTTATAAGGGCCCATTTACTTATTAGGAATTTCACATCTAATTGGAGTTTAGTTTTCAAAGTTTTGTCTGGCTCCCAATATAGGTTCTAAGGTTGTTCTTACTATAGTGATATGGGCTGTTCATTGGAAATGAAGTTACTCATTGCATCAGGGCAACTTAAAATAGACTTGTTTTAAATGTTTTATCAGCGTTTACGATCATTTATCTGGACTGTCAACTTATTATTGCTTTTCCCTTTACAGAAAGGCAGAAACTCTCCAGATGTCTGACGATAATGTCCAAGTTGTTATCCCAATGGCACAAGGAAACACCAATGGCCTACCTGGGGCAACCTCCAGTGACCTGAAGGCGTTTACTAAAGGAGCCGTGTTAAGTTTTCATAACATCTGCTATCGAGTAAAAGTGAAGAGTGGCTTTCTACCTGGTCGAAAAATAGTTGAGAAAGAAATACTATCGAATGTCAAGTATGTGCATACTTCACAGGTTTTGCCTATTATTAGTAAAGCTGTGGTGAATATCTGTGCACAGGTCTTTGTACAGATATACAGATACCTGCTTTCATTTCTTTTAGATAAACAAAGAGTGAAATGATTGGGTCATGTGTTAGGTATATATTTAACTTTCAGAGGAACTCCCACACTTTTTAAAAATGTTGTACCATGTGCATCAATGTTTGTTTGAGAAACTGAACGATTAATGTGTTATTTTGTTTTTCCTGGGTAAGGCTTGTGGTTTGGTGGAAAGAGGCCTGACTGTATGATTTAATGCTTTTTGATTGTGGGAATATAATTATAATCTTTGAGCTTCAATTTTTTAATCTGTTTAGTAGAAGACCTGCTGACGCACTTTCTGAGCTAGATACTTTTTTAGGTACTTGTGTACTTTATGTCACCTATGTTCTAGAAGCAAGGAGGTTGAAATGACAGTATATTGTGAAAGTATAGTACTTTGCTTTTCAAATACACTTGTTTCAAGTGAGTGGCCTACTTATAGTACTTTATTATCTATTAACAATTTTGGGGGGGTATCCGAACCCTTGACTTTGGTGTTATAACACCGTGCTCTGATATTAACAATTTACTTAATACTTCCCTCTATTATACAGGCAGGAAATATTTAAATGTAAGACAACTATAGTTTAGCTTAAGTTGAACAGATGACATCTAAAGTGATTAGAATTTAGGATCCAAGGGGGCTGGCAGTTTAGCTCAATTGGTTAGAGCATGTTGCTCATAACACCAAGGTTCGATTCCTTTACCGGCCAGCTGCCAAAAAAAATATTAGGATCCAAATCAGTGCATTTAATTATATTTTAAAAGCACCCAGTAACTATGATTTTTGTTCTTTTCATATACCAATGAGTTCATCATGTGGTGGTAAAGTGGGGTGGAAGAGCAGGGAGGGAAATGAGCATTTCTATATAGCCTACTCACCACCGGGTATCCCTTTTATTTCACAGACGCTAGCTGGCCATTAGGGTTGTTAATGTTTTTCTGATTTCTAGAAACTTGAGCTCGATTCTTCCCCTCTGTGGTGTGGGGAGTAATTTGAGTTTTCTGAGACATCATGACCAGTGTGCTTTGTTTTGTTTGTTTAATAGGGGAAATAATTACTCCTAAACAAGGCAAAAAGCTCCCTGGCTGCAAGGATGGAAGAATAGTTAAAGAGCCCTTTGGCCAGGTGTGGCTGCAAATCTATATGGAATCAGATGTTTCTTGGATTTTCTTCGTGTTTATATGGGACTCTGGTCTTTTCTATTTATAGCAGCCAACTCCTAGAAATGACAAGACAGGGAAGAAAATTTTGGAATGTGGGTGGGAGAGAAACAAGGGGGATGTGTGATTTGATTGGGCTGAGGCCAGGGGCTGTGCAGGATTAGAACGATCTCCATGCAGCAACACCTATTGTCTTGGCTGCTTCCTTGTTGCTTTCTCCTGTTAGCTGAGAAACCTTGACTAAGAATACGTAGAGGAATGGTGGATGCAAAGCTCTTATCCTTTGCTACATGCGTAGGTAGAATTGGCTGACTGTTTTGAAAAGCTGAGAAGCTCTTTGTGAAACATCATAATCAAGAAAATATCAGTTGGTTAGAGTGCAGCCTTATAACACCGAGGTCAGGGGTTCAGATCCCTGTACCGGCCAGCCACCAAGAAAAAAACAGAAACCAACAACAACAACAAAAAGAAAATATTGTACTGGCCAGCTGCCACAAAAGATAAAAAATAATAAAAAAAAAGAAAATGTTGGCCACTTCAGATTTTGTGCTGAGAGAGATGGAAGGTAACAAATGATGTGAATAGGTGCAGATTCAATAGATTTAAAGTGTGTCTGGTGTGAGGGTACGTTTGTCTTATCCTTTATAGCAAGTAGATTAGTAACTTGTTATACTATGTGTCATCTGCTCAAGGCTTCACAGCATTTCTATGGTTGAATGGTATGCATTTGAGCAGGTGGTGAAGGTCATCCTTGCAGGCGTTCCTGTCCTCGTAAAATACAGTCACATCACACAGTTCTTTCAGATTTTACAGTTAAAAGGACGCCAAGCATTGGTGTTCTTGTGATTCACATCTGTGGCTTAAGTGTCCATGAGAAAGGTCACCCTGTTTTTGGCTGTGGTGTTCCCAGTCTTTCTTCTGTCTGCTGGCTTCAACTAAGAGTTTCTGGGGTGGGAGGCAAAGGTTGCTGTCATTTATCTCATTTTTGATTCCTATTTGATAGCACCATCATTCAAAATAGTAACTATATTTCAAAATAGCTGGTGAGAATTTTTTTTTTTTGTCTTTTTTCGTGTCCGGCAACGGATCGCAACCCTCAGTATCGCTCCAGTACCGGACCGGGACTGGCAACGGGATCGCAACCCTCGGTGTTGCGCCCGCACCTCGCTCAGCCAGTGAGTGGGAACTGGTCTGTATGTGGGATCCGAACCCTCGGCGGGAGCGCCACTGCGCTCCCAAGCGGCACACTGTAGCAGTGCGCCACCGGGCCGGCCCCAGCTGGTGAGAATTTTAATTTTTGTTTTTCCTTTGGACATTTTGTTATCTCACTTCTAGAACTATTTTCCAGAAATAATGGCACTGTTGGTCATTGTCTGGGAGCAGCAGACAGGAAATGTAGCCTCATAATGAAGGCAGTGGTGAGTCCTGAGGGGCTGCTGGTCAACCTTGTTCCTCACAGAACTGACTGACCACCACATCTTCTCTTCAGTCTCATCCAACCTGGTATTTCCCTGTCTAGTCCCATCCCAGGTGATGTTAAAATTGATCACCTGGTCACGTATGGTATCTGCCAAACTTCACCATGTCACCATTTTCCATTAGTACTAATTAATTAGTGTTATGAGGGGACATACCCTGACATTATTCCAGAATCCAATTTCCAGAATCGTTGAACTTCGACTCACCAGCTTCAGCCCCCATTGATGACTGCTGCCTCAATCAGCCTCTTGATAGTTGTCAAAGGGTGATTTTCTGTTCTTACCAACTCTTCTATATGTGTTAGTTTGCATTCTACTAAAAGGAAAAACCTTCTTTCATCATCTCCTTTCATTTATTTTATTTACTTACTTTTCTGGAGGCTGGCCAGAATGAAGCCCTGAACCCCTTGACCTTGGTGTTATTAGGCTATGCTCTAACCAATTGAGCTAACTGGCCAGCCCCTCGCTTATTTATATCGGTACAGACTCAAGAATTCATATTGTATTCAGTAGCATTATTGCATAAATATATTATTATTTACCTTGATACTGCTATTGTTCCTGATTGGGTCAGTGGGAGAATTTCAAGGTGGTTCCCCCACCCTCCTCCTTTTGATATATCCTCTCATTTTATGAGTATTTTCTTGGCAGAGCAAGAAGTTCCAGGCTCATTTCGTACTTACCCTCCTTCAGACCTGGAATTAGCTTATGTTCATTTTTGCAGAGGATGGTGTTTATAAACTAAGAGTTGGGTGTTTAGAATGCTCATTCCTATTGGGATGTCATAGCTTCCAGGCCTTCTCAGTGGACAGACCTAGGGAATATATGTATGCATGTACATATACACATGTGTGCACACACACCTGCAGGTGCATGCGGATCCAGCCAGGAGGGGTGTTGGGTGGCTGCTCCCACAGCATCCTGGGAGTTTTCCAGTCTAACACTTCAGGATTCTTTCCACATTTTCATGTTTGTAAAAATCTTCTCAGAGTAAAAAACCTGGCTGTCATTATTTTTAGTATACTTACTAGTTTGCTCGGTCTGTTTTCTTATACCCTATCTGGCATCAGCAAACTCTGTGAAGAGCTAGATAGTAAATATTTTCAGCTTTATGGCCATACATGTGTGCTGCAGCTACTCAACTCTGCTGTAGCATGAAAGCAGCCATAGGCAGTACGGAAGTGAATGAGCACAGCTCTGTTCCAGTAACATTTTGTTTATGAAAACAAAACAAGCAGTCTCCCCACTCTCCAGCTGTCTGCTCTCTTCCTCCCACCCCCTCACAGCCTGTGTTCTTGAATACTGGTGGTCACTGCACCTCCAGTATTTTTTCTACTAAGAAAGGAGGGGTAGGGCAAGTTTAGTAGGGAAGGTGACTAAGTTTTCTTTCCAGTCAGAATATACCTGTTTTTAGTAAGCTGTTTCCTACTCCTCGACCCGTTTTTTGAAAAATTTTTGGGTTTGTTTTCTTAGAAGTAATTCCCGGGGCTGGCCTGTGGCTCACTTGGGAGAGTGTGGTGCCGATAACACCAAGGCCCTGGGTTTGGATCCCTGTATAGGGATGGCTGGTAAGCTCACTTGGTAGAGCGTGGTGCTGACAACACCAAGTCAAGGGTTAAGATCCCCTTACTGGTTATCATTTAGAAAAAAAAAAAAAAAAAAGTAATTCCCATTTATAAAATGTAGAGATTCATTTATTCAACAAATTTTGAATGCCTTCTAGGTACCTGGCATTGTGCAAGATGCTAATAACACAGGTATGTCCTGTGTTCTGAGAAACCTTATAGTCTAGTGGGAAATTCAGAAAACTAGAGCATTTTCTGTGTGTTCAGCTGTGATAGAAGGATTAAAAGACACAGCGGAAGCTCCTAACCCTAAATGGGAGGGTTGGGGATGTGGAGATAAAGTACAGATAGTGCCCACACGTGTGTGTATGTGTTTATGGAGTTGGGCCATGCTCCAAGTAGTGGGAATGGCACTGACCTCTCTTGTCCATAAACAGAACAAGACCAAAGGATTGACCACTATCCACTAAAGTGTAATAGATGTGACTTGAATCTTTTGGGTCAGTTTCATTTCACGTATTCAGCATTCAATATTCAGTGGTTGTAGACCTCTGTGCTGCATTTACGGGTGGGGGAAAGGGGTGGGATTAGTAACCATGTCACACAGTTCTTGCTGATGGGGTTTTACAGTATAGGGAGCAAAAACTGCCTGTGTGCAAATGCTGTAAAACAGTAAATAAGGGTGGAGATCAGGGTTGGAAGGTTCATAGAAGGGTGGAGGGCTGGCTGGTTAGCTCAGTTGGTTAGAGCACAGTATGGTGTTATTAACATCAAGGTCAAGGGTTCGGATCCCTGTACCAGCCAGCCACAAAATTAAAAAAAAAAAGAAGGGTGGAGGGTGGGGTGGTGAGACCAGGGAATTGTAGAACATAGGCTAGAACCCTGCATCAGCAAACTCTTTCTGTAATGAGCCAGATAGTAAATATTTTCAGCTTTACGGCCATACATGCGTGCTGCAGCTTACTCAGCTCTGCTGTAGCATGAAAGCAGCCATAGGCAGGACGGAAATGAATGAGCACAGCTCTGTTCCAGTAACATTTTGTTTATGAAAACAGAAAACAGGTGACCAGCCCTACTGTTGATGAGCAAAGCAAGAGCTATATTTTACCCTATAACCCACTAGCAGTTTTATGGGTGTGACCATTCAAGTATAGCAGGCAGTAAATGCTGAGGTTCTCTTGGACTTAAGCACCTGGAGTGCGTGCCGTTGCATTGGGAAGTTTATCACTCATGACAATTGTATAATCATAGAATTGGCCTCTGTGGTAATCATTATCTGGGAATAAAATAGCCTTTGGCTTTGATTTTCCTTTTGGAACAGACAGTTTTCTGTGTGGAATACATTTTGACCTACTCACCAATTCTATGTCTAATATTCCTTTATTTTTGGCAGCTGGCCAGTACGGGGATCAAACCCTGTACAAGCACCATGCTCTAACCAACTGAGCTAACTGTCCAGCTCCATTGACTTCGTGTAATATCTTTTTTTTTTTTTTTCTTTTTTGCTACTTACCAATTCTAAAGAGAGATTGAGCATAGACATCAGGATCTTGAAAGGTCTAAGTCAGGCCTCCGTTTCATCCTGCCTGTGTAACTGCCGTGGTCCTACTCTAATTCTTCTGTCTCTACTTCACTCTACTTAACCATTCTACTTGTTATGTTTAGGATTAAATTCAAACTATTTGCCCTCTTCCTGGGTCTCAGCTCAGTTGGTACGGCCAGAATTTTTTCCCTGTCCTCCTCTATTTGAATATTCACTACTCTCAAATATCCATTTAGTTTGTTTGAAACATGCTTGTATCTATACATCCTTAAAGGACACTCCCTACTGAAGTGATGTCTTCCACTTCTCGACTGAGAATTTTCAGTCCACTTATCTGATACTTTACAAGGAAGAAAATGGTATATATCTTGACGTATATATTCTGCTTTTCTGTTTGGATTAAGAGGGTTGTTTTTTTTTTTTTTTTTTGGGGGTAGAAATTTTTTTTGTTTTTTTTTTTTTTTTTTGGGGGTAGAAATTTTTTTTGTTTTTTTTTTTTTTTTTTGAGGGTTAAGAACTGTTGATGTTTTCTTTTTTCCTCTAAGTGCTTTTTTCTAGCCTTTGGATTTCTACTTAAGATGTATTCTTGAGCTGATTAGATTTTCACAGTAAGAACATTTCTGCTGGTATTCTACAGATCAGTGATTTATTGGTTGTGTAGAACTTGACTAGGTAGCAAATAAGGCGACTTGAAGATATAGTACTGATCATTAAACATTACCCAAAACGTATTATGTACTTTACACTGTCAAGAGGTGTAAATGTAGTAGAGGTGCTTCATAAGAATCTTGTTACTTGTTTTAAGGAACCTTCAACATTGGATGTGTGCTTTTCCAAAAAATACAAGTGGGTTAGAGAATATGTGTAGGGAATTTAGAGGGACCTAAGCCATTTTTTTATAGGTCCTGACTAGTGATTTACATCCTTTGTATATTAGACTTCTATTGATTAAGTTTTTTTTTTCCTTTAAGAGTTGGTTTATACTTGTTTTCCATCTGTAATTTCATCAGCTTTCATTGAGTATATTTGATGCAGACCCTAAATTAATAGAACCCCATTTAAGGTGGAACAGTAAACGAGTATGTTTTTGTGTTTACAGTGGAATCATGAAGCCTGGCCTCAATGCCATTCTGGGACCCACGGGTGGAGGCAAATCTTCGTGAGTATGAGAGAGAATATAAGTAAGCTTTTTCTGTGCAGTTTTAGTGTGTCTTTAAAACTACTTTTTCCATGCAGGTATTTGTAGAGTGTTTGCCATGCATTGGTCTGGTTGTAGGTGCTGTAAATAACATGCATTTGTACTGGCTGGTGGTTCTCTCCCTGGGACCAGGAAGTCTTATTAGATGAGCTTTACTAATAGGACATCATAAAGTGATTGGCATACAGCAGTTGGCCATGTTATGAGCTAATGGAGGAAAGCTAGGGGGTCATAATAAAAGTAGGGAGATGGAGCAGAAGGTATAAGTTAAGGCATGAATCTTAGAGGAGCACATTGCCTGTGTTGACCACCAAGGTCAAACATCCAGGAGGGCCATTTGGGAGGTCTGTGCTAGATCAGCCAGTGTTGTCTTGCTGTTATGTTTTGGTGCCCTATTGTAGCATTTAATAAAAAAGAAAGGCGTGAATTTAAGTATGTATATAATTTTAATTAAACCATAGAATTTCTTAACCAATTTTCTAACTTGAGCAGAATTCGGATTCATAGTAGCTAGAAGATATAGCCTGTGTTGAAGGGAAAGCAAATCACAACATATATGTCCTTTCATAGGTTGTTAGATGTCTTAGCTGCAAGGAAAGATCCACATGGATTATCTGGAGATGTTTTGGTAAATGGAGCACCTCAACCTGCCGATTTCAAATGTAATTCAGGTTACGTTGTACAAGTAAGTATTAGTGGGTTTGCATTTTAGCTGTATATTTCCTTTATGTATTTATGTATTTATTTATTCATTCATTTATTTTGGCTGCTACCTTGTATAGGGATCTGAACCTGTGACATTGGTCTTACAAGGCTATGCTCTCCCAACTGAGCTTACAAGCCAGCCTTAGTGGGTCTGCATTTTAGGTTTCCTCTGTTTTTATACAGACAAGTGTCTTGGCTGATAATTCATTATGCTTCAGTTGATCATATGCCATGCTCATAGAACCAACTTTCTTTATTCCAGCTTTCTGTAATCTCCCATAAAATTCAGGGTGGTGTTAAATAAAAAGGCAGGGAGGACCTGGAATATGACCCTTGTAAGGGCAATGATATCAATTCTAGTTACATCATTTCCAAAGGATATACTAGTGTTGTACTTTTTGCCCTTCGCCTTTCTTCCTCCCCTAGCTGAGAAAGATGTTTTGGCAAGTACTTGCATGAAGCAGTCTAGAAATGTCTGCTAGTAGTCATTGTAATTACCTGTGTTCTGTTTGGGTATACTGACAGGCATGATAATGATTCCATTAGGCTTCATAGCTGTCTGTAAATGAAGTTATTTCAATTTGTAGAATTGAAAGTTCATCATTAGCTAGAACATTACCTTAGCTATGTTACTTTTGTGGATTAAGTTACATATGCTAAAGAATGATAGTCTTAGAAAAGACTTGATATGTCTCATTAAAATGTCATTTTCCCTTAAGGATGATGTCGTGATGGGCACTTTGACGGTCAGAGAAAATTTACAGTTCTCAGCAGCTCTCCGGCTTTCAACAACTATGACGAATCATGAAAAAAATGAACGGATTAACAGGGTTATTCAAGAGTTAGGCCTGGATAAAGTGGCAGATTCCAAGGTAATTGTGGAAGAAACTAATAGCATGACAGCCAGCAAATAGGACGTCTCCTGTGTGGATAGTAGGAGTCTTGTTCAGAAGTTCCTTATAATGGGTGTGGTCGAAGTGGCTGCTTTCTGTAATGATGAAAAAAGCAACTAGGTGCATAATATGAAGGTGGAAGTTTACCTGGAAAAAGAAAATCTTTTTTTTTGGCGGCTGGAAAAACATTTTCAACAGTGGTTGAATCCTGGAAATGAAGTGTGGCAGTGTGGTCTAGTATGTAGAAGTGTTCCTCCCTAGGCCTTTTCCAGATGACCCTCCCACACCTTATCATTTGAGTCATTTCTCATTAGATACCTTTTTTTTTGTTTGTTTGTTTGTTTGTTTTTTTTGTCTTTTTCCGTGTCCGGCAACGGATCGCAACCCTCAGTGTCGCCCCCGTACCGGACCGGGACCGGCAACGGGATCGCAACCCTCGGTGTTGCCCCCGCGCCTCGCTCAGCCAGCGAGCGGGAACCGGTCTGTATGTGGGATCCGAGCCCTCGGCGGGAGCGCCACCGCGCTTCTCAAGCGGCGCACTAGCGCAGTGCGCCACCGGGCCGGCCCTCTCATTAGATACCTTTGCACTAATGTTTCTCTTTCCGTTTTTCTCTTCCTCCTTTTAGCTGTTCTTCCTCTTCCTCCATGGGACTTTGTTCCATTGCTTTCGAGGTATATTTCTGGAATTGATGAATGATCAGAATTGAAGGATTCTTTCTCTAAATGTTTCACTTACATGTAATTTGGCCTCCAAAATTATATTTAGTCAAATTAGGGTTTATTTCTAATTTGTGTAGTGTCCACATTATTTTTCTGTAGCCTTTCTTTTGGTCTTTTTGTTTCCCATTCCCTTCCTCTCCTTTCTCTCTCTCTTTTTTTTTTTTTTTTTTTTGGGAGGCTGGGTGGTATGGGAATCTGAACAAAATGTCTTTTATAGCTAAGTTGTTAGTAGGATCCTATCAAGGGCTGTGAGTAGCTTTTGATTATTATGTCTTTGAAGACTCAATATAAGCATTGTTTTCTACTTCCTGCCCCACCCCAAAACCTTCCTGTCCCTTTGCCATACACAATGACATTGACTTTTTGAAAAGACTGAGGCATGTTCCCTGTAGATGTCCCACCTTCTGGATTTGTCTGAAGGAATGAATTGGGAGTTCTGGGGCTGGTTAGGGTGTGGACAGGGTCTGTTCAGGAAGCAGTATGGTGATTGAAAAGATGCTGATATGGTGGGTAGAAAGTGAATTTCCCTCGCTGCCAAGCCCACCCTCTTCTTGTAAGTCCACTTGGGGACTCTGTGGGGAGGAAGGAGAGGATGTAAAAATTGCTTTAACGTTTTCTTTTCCTGTCGCTTTATCTCTCTATATAGACTGCAATTTCACTATATCAGGACCATTATCTTTTAGTGTTCTAACTTACTATCTTAAAACTCAACATTTGGCTCAATGAGGAACATATGGAACTGTTAAAAGCATGGGCTTCATATCAGGCTTAGGCACTTACCAGCTCTGACCTGAGCCTCAGTTTACTCATCTGATAAAAGAGAAACCTACTTCTTCTTCTAGATATTCACTTATTCGCTGTTTGGAATAAATAAGGATAATGAGATAAAGTGTCTCTTACAGGGCTGTCACATGTTAGGAACTCACCAAATGATAGTGACTGTTGCTATTATTGATAATGATGGTATTTGTGTTTCAGGTTGGAACTCAGTTTACCCGTGGTGTGTCTGGAGGAGAAAGAAAAAGGACGAGTATAGGAATGGAGCTCATCACTGATCCTTCCATCTTGTTCCTGGATGAGCCCACAACTGGCTTAGACTCGAGCACAGCAAATGCTGTCCTTTTGCTTCTGAAAAAGTAAATTCTGTGGGAAAATTATTCTTTCATTCATTTAATATCTGATCACTACTATGTACTAGGTATTATTCTTGGCATGGGGGATTCAGAAGTGAACAAAACAATTTCTTCCTTCTTTGTTGGAGGGAAACAGTTAACACGTATGATGTAAGTGTTATCAAGAAAAACGAAGCAGGAAGAGCGTAGGGAAGGCTGGCCGTGGTGGGGTGGGTGCTGTTTTATACAACAGGCCAGTCAGGGAGGACCTCAGGATGCGACATGTGAGCTGGGAGTGAGTGAGACCTGGATATCTGGAAGAAGAGTTCTAGTTGGAGGAACAGCCAGTGGCCCTGAGGCTGAGCGTGCCTGATGGGTTTGGAGCTTCAGAGAGGCCACAGGGACTAGAACCCAGTGACCCAAGGGGAATGGGGGATGGCCAGTGTGTTAGTTTCCTTGGGCTGTTATAACAAAGTTATGAGCATCTTCTTTAAAATTAATTTAACCTAATAGTTTCAAACGTATAGAAAAGGTACAAGAATAGTACAAAGAAAATCCCGCACCCCTCACCTGGATTCCCCTCCGGTTCCCATTTCACCACACTTGCTTCTTTTCCCTCCCTTTCTCGCTTCTCCTACAGTCTTCTGACATCATGCCGTATCATCCCTAAATACACAGAGTGCAACCCCCCAAAACAAGGAGGCGCCACCATACAAACCTCCTGGTCAGGAAGTCCACGTTGATGGCCTCGCCACCGTCCAGTCCACAGACTCCGGTCTGCCTTCACCAGCTGTCCCAACAGTGTCTTTTTCCTTTTTGGCTCAGGATCCTCTCCAGAAAACACACCTTTGAAGTCTCCTCTAATCTGGACTGGTTCCGCAGTCTGTCTCTCTCTCTGGTTATAAAAGATCCTTTTTTCTGGCTATCTTGAAATGTACAATACAATATTATTAGTTGTTGTCACTCTAGGGCACCAGAACTTACTCTTCCTATCTGACTGTAACTTTGTACCGTTCCACCAACCAAAATTTTCCCGGCTGCCCTCCCCCTGCCTTTCCTTGTCTCTGGTAACCACCATTCTACTCTCTATTTCTCTCTTTTAAATTTATTTTTCTTAATTGACCCATGATAATTGTATATATTAATGGAGTACAATATGATATTTGGGTACATTCATACTGTGTGTAATGATCACATCAGGGTGCTTAGTATTGTCCTGACCCTCTGAGGTAAAACACCCTTGTACACACTGCTAACATAACAGTGGGTGCTTAGAAAGTGATTAAATTAAAGCGATTATTCTCATAAAATAAATGCTCAGTAACCTTAACTGTATTAGTGCAGAAGAATTAATATCAGTTGCTAAAGAGCCAGAAGACTTAAAACGATCAATAAAAATGGGGCTTACGACCACTGTTTTAATAGTTAGTCCATAATAAGTTCTCAAATCTGGATGTACTTATTTATAGACTACCTGGGGTGCTTGTTAAAGATATGATTCCCCAGATCTTCCCCCAGTCTGGGAAGATGCTCCAGGAATCTGCATTTTTAATAAATGTTCTAGTTGAGTCGACTGTCCAAGCAACACACTAATATGATATGAGAAGTTAGTAAGAGAAAATCAAGTTGAGCTAGGAACAAATGGTCATGGTCAGGAAGTATGTTTCAGATGCTTAATGACTTGCTGTTTTTTCACTTTTTTCCCCCGTGATGCTTTCTTTTAATTGCATTTTTTTTCACTGTTAACTTAGGATGTCTAAACAGGGACGAACAATCATCTTCTCCATTCATCAGCCTCGTTATTCCATCTTCAAGTTGTTCGATAGCCTCACCTTGTTGGCCTCAGGAAGATTAATGTACCATGGGCCTGCTCAGGAGGCCATGGGGTTCTTTGCATCAGCTGGTATGATTGACTTTTTCATGCAGTAAAATCCCACTTTAATGGAATCCTAAAAGAGGACAAAGAGAGTTGACAGGAGTGCTTTTGACTTTGGGTAGATAGACCATGGGTTGTAGCACGCTAAAACATCTTTGATCAGTTTGGTGCCAGAATTTTTCTTCATTTCACAGCACTAGTGTGTTGTTTGTGTCTCCTCCTGTCCTGTATGAATGTGCATGTATGTGTGTTTGAGTATTTCTACTGTTCTGTTTCCCAGTTATGGTGACCTTTCCTTAAAAGTTCAAAAAATATGTTGGTCCCATAGCCAGTTACTCTGTTAACTGAACATTTTTGGAAAGGCCTAATATCATTGTCTTCTTGACCATATAACAGATCAGGCCTTTTCATTTTTTACCTTTGCATGTGATGTTGGTCTGCCTTGATGAAGACTCATGGAGATGCTACTTAATTTTCTAGTAACATTAGATTGCAGATTTAGGCCTTGAGTGGATGTGAGTGACCTGTCAGTCAATAGAGTGGCCTTAAATCTGATCATGATGGGCAAACATTTCTTCTAGTAGTTCTGGGCAACCTGATTCTTCCTATTTCACATCTAAGTGTGTTATTTATTTTATTTTTTTAAATGGCTCATGCTTCATTTTAGAGATATTTGGATATGTTTATAGATGATTTTCCCTGACCCCCAGTATAGTTTTAAATATTCATTAGCTATCTTTCTTAATTTGTTTTTGTTTAATCTCTATCATTTAAAATAACCAAGTGTATATGGGTCTGGGGAGTCTGGGAGAAATGCACCTAAGAGTCAGACTTCAGGCAAAATTGAAGTCAGATGATTGTGCCACAGAAGTTGAGGTACAGGTATACTGTGCTGTCATACTCTCTCAAGAGTGCTGCTCTGGGAATTTGTCCTTCATTTGGAATTGTGGCAGCATAACAGATAATTTGGATCTCTGAATTTAGTGGGTGAGGAAGCAATCACTGCCAGCAGTTTGTACTGCCATTCTGACATTCCCTAGGTAAACTCAGAGCAGAATGCACTGGGCTTTTAATATTTTTTTTTCTTGGACCTATATTTAGATTTTTGAAGAAGTGCTAATAATCACCAGAGCATACTGATAACTGTTTTAGGTTTCATGAATTATGATAGGTAAGGACCAAGCACTAATATAAGACATTCTGAAAGTCCAAGGTTGGTTTGAAGCGTATTTCTTTTTGGCTGGGAGACAGAATTGTTGAAATATTGTATGATTGAATGTGTAAGAGGAAATGGTAAGTTAGTGACAGAAGAGAGAAAGAAGATGAGAGAGAAGTTGGATTCTGTCTTTTCTTGCCTTACCTTCATCACCTTTGAAAGTGAGTCCTCTTTATTTTCCAAGACCATCAAGTGTGTGTGTCGGGTTGCCTTTCATAGGTTACCACTGTGAGCCCTATAATAACCCTGCAGACTTCTTCCTGGACGTCATTAATGGAGATTCCTCTGCTGTGATACTAAACAAAGAGGATGATGAGGACTGTGAAGGTATGTGGTTTATTAGATTCACAGATTTTTGCTTAATTGAATTGGCTGAATTCAGTGTGGTGGCTCTTTAAAATGTGGCTTTGTGAGTTTATGTTAATGTAGTCTTGTTACCAGTTAGCATGTTGATTTTTCTGCATTCCATTAGTTCTGTAGGTGTTTCTGATTCAATTTATGAATGATCATTTATATAATAATGTAAGTTCTAAAGGGAGCTTTCATTTAAAAAAATATGCTCATTGATTGCACAGTGTTAGAGAAACTTGGCACTTTATGCATTTGCATATAGTAGGAAGCAGGAACCAGATTTTTACATTAAGAATTTTAACTCCATATGGTAAGAAGTCTATTTTTAAAAAATTAGGGTCCCAATAGTTAGGAAAAGGTAGTAGACCAATTAGCTGTATTTTTTTTAATGTGTAAAGCAGGCTAATAATTGTTTATATTCAACCTTTAGAATTAAGATGTTAGGGAGGAATCCAAGAAAAGGGTCACAGGAAAATGGGCTAAATCAGTTGTTATCTTGTTAATACTATTTTCCTTCTTTGTCCACTTTTATTCCAAAGCCCTGGAGACTGAAGAGCCTTCCAAGAGAGATACGCCACTCATAGCAAAAATAGCTGAGTTCTATGTTAACACCTCCTTCTACAGAGAAACAAGAGCTGAATTAGAGAAACTCTCAGGGGGTGAGAAAAAGAAGAAGAGCTTAGCCTTCAAGGAGATGACCTATGCCACCCCCTTCTGTCATCAACTCAAATGGATTTCCAAGCGTTCATTCAAAAATTTACTGGGTAATCCCCAGGCCTCTATAGCACAGGTAACATGACAGATTCTTTTTTTTTTTTAAAAGATGACCGGTAAGGGGATCTGAACCCATGGCCTTGGTGTTGTCACCACCACGCTCTACCAAGTGAGCCAACTGGCCATCTCTATACAGGGATCTGAACCTGTGGCCTTGGTGTTATCAGCACCACACTCTCCCAAGTGAGCCACGGGCCGGCCCTCTGACAGATTCTTTTGAAATACTAGTGTGGAAACAATTTGGCTCAGATCTAATCTCCTTTAGGATTATGTGTATATTCTACCCACACTTCCATTTATTTCTTTTCCCTACTCCATTTGGGATATACATAGAAACAGTCAATAGAACAAGTAGGACACAGTGAAGTTTTTATTGAGAGAAAGCTTCTTTTTCTGGTGGTTTCTTTGACTAGCTCAGAATTTTTGTTGATTTAGACAAGCTGTAATGAATTTATTTTAGTAGAAAATATTTTTTGATAGATATAAAGGAAATGTCAGTCACATTTGGGGTTTTCTAGTATATGTGTGCTTTCATTCATGGATTCATTCAACAAGTTTGTATTGATTATGTGCTGCACTTTGGGGACATGTATACAGTAGTGAACAAAATGGCTAAAATTCTCTGCTCTTAAGAAGCTTCATTTCTTAGGACAGACAGATGGTAAATGAATAAAGAGATAAAATATATAGTACATCAGGTAGTAGAAGAGACTATGGAGGAAGTTTAAGCTAAGAGAGGTGAAGAAAGGGGAGAAAGAGGAGATAGGGAGAAGGTGGTTGGTTTACATTTGAAATCAGGTGGTCAGGGAAAATTTCACCTAGTGTCACTGAATATAACTGCAGGTAATATGGGCTGGCCACCGTATGAGGGAAGAGTCTGTGTGCAGAATGCTGTTCCTTGTAGTTGATCTTCCTTATCTAGGGACTCTAATCTAAGGAAAGTACTAGATATTTCGAACAGTTTGCAGTTGATACAGAGGTAGTAAGCAAACTTGAGTTCCATAAAACAGGCATTCACTGTCAAATTAACATTCTTTTAGTTAAGATGAGATAATGTTTTTTTCTTCTTTTAGCTGGCTCTTTGGTAGTTGTTGATTGTTAGTCCTTATGGTTTTTCTGTTATTCTTAACCCTTCTGTCACACAAAACACTAGTACTCCTAGTTCATTGGTCCATCCTTTATAAGGAAATCAGGTTAGCTGGTTATTTGGGGGTTGTTTTTTCTGTCAGCTATTTAAGAGTAATTTATTTATTTATTTTTTTAAAAGATGACTGGTAAGGGGATCTTAACCCTTGACTTGGTGTTGTCAGCACCACGCTCAGCCAGTGAGCTAACTGGCCATCCCTATATGGATCCGAACCCAGGGCCTTGGTGTTATCAGCACCGCACTCTCCCGCATGAGCCACGGGCCGGCACAAGAGTAATTTATTTTTAAATTGAAACTGGGTTGTTCTTGTTTTTTTTTTAATTTTTAAATTTTTTACTTTTTTTGGCAGCTGGCTGGTAAGGGGACCTGAACCCTTGACTCTGCTGTTAAACACTGTGCCGTAACCAGCAGAGCTAACCAGCCAGCCCCATTATCTTTTCTTTAAATTTTTTTTTATTTATTATTTTTGTTTTGGCGGCTGGCTGGTATGGGGACTGGAACCCTTGACCTTGGTGTTATTAGCACCACACTCTGACTGAGCTAACCAGCCAGCCCTGTGTTTTTATTATCAAGCACTGAGTTTCATTGAGTACTGAAAGATGGCGGGTTGTTGGCTCTAATGAAATATTACTGCCTTCTTAACAGGCACACCATAATTTTCATAGTTAAGCATCTTAACATTCTAAGAATATCTAAGAGGCTGTATCCCTGTTTGAGCCGTATTGCTAATTGCTCCAAATGTTTTTGGTAGTTGTTATTTGGCATTTTTGGGTACTTGTGTGTACTGTCAATCAAGGGTAAAATTTCATTCTTTGAGAATAGATTTGATTTTGTTTGGAAACAAGTCTGGTGAATAAGATCATCCTGGGTTACCCATTGTTCAACAGTGAGATGATGTAATGAGGTGATTCTTTAATGTGATTTATGCATTAGATTTTTGTTACTTGGAAAATAACCTAAATTTCCTGCCTCTCAAGGTAGTATGTCTTGTACAAATCACGTATATAAATAAGTACAGTAGTTCTGGGCAGGGCATGATTAGAACACAGATCTATTTCCAATACACCAAGATTCTGAATGTTCTGGTGCTAGGCTTCCTTCTGGTGGAAACACCAGGCCCAGCACTTCCAGGTTGTGTTCTCAGCCTACCTGCCTAATCAGTGAACTCAGTTCCACAAAAGGAATTCCAACAATGTTCATAGTGGTGTCAGTCCCATAGAATAGTGATAGAACCTTGTGTTTCTCTGAGCATTTCCTTAGTGGGACAACTCTTGTTTAGATTTGTAAATACTAGAATGTTAGCTTAGGGCAGGAGTAGGCAAAATTTTTTTTTGTAAAGGGCCATATAGTAAATATTTTAGACTTTGCAGGCCATTTGGTCTTTGTTTCAGGTAGCCAACCCTGCCATTTTAGTGTGGAAGCAGCCACAGCTAGTACATAAATGAATGAACATTGCTGTGTTCCAATAACGCTTTGTTCATGGACACTGAAGTTTGAATATCCTATAAATTTTATATTGCAAGAAATATTATTATTCTTGATTTTTTTTTTTTAACCCATTTAAAAAAATGTAAAAATCATTCTTAGCTTGAGGGCTGAACAGAAATGTGGCTGGCCCTATTTGGCCTACAGGCCATCGTTTACTGCCCCCGACTTAGGGTTTTTAATCTTGCATGTTTTTTACTTCTCTAAATTTTTGAACATGCAGTGTTAAAATGTTTTATGGCTTCCTGCTGATGAATTTTGTATCTATTTTATTATAGCCATACTTTGGTTTGAACTATTTATTTATTTATTTGATTCATACTTGGCATTTGATAGTGTGTTTAAGCAAAGGTTGCATTTGGAAAATCTTGGAATGAATTATTTGTATAAGAAGAGTTAATGTTCATTTAGTGTGCCAAGGGTTTCCTGATCAAGGGTCTATCTACTCCATTATGCAATGTTTAGTTTGCCTGCTTTGTTTTCTTTTTCTTCATACGAGAAGGAATAACAGATGCACTTTGTAAAAACATGACAAGATTACAGAATTAATTGTTTTTCAATATGTTTGAAAGCGGACTTTGAAAATACTTTAACATCTTAATGATAATACTGACAGTGTTGTTATAAGATACCAAGTTTTAATGGAAAAGAAACAAAGCATGGGTCGTGTCCAGTTTGAAAAGTCTGAATATTCTTAAAAATTATACCGTGTGAAAGTTTAGACTCTGATTTACATGTGTATGCATGCATGTTGATAGAGTCGTCAGCATTTATTTTGGAAGCTTGATCTGTTGAAATGAAGTGTAGAGTATATTCTGAGGGCAGTAAAAATATACCAGGGTGATGGATTTTTCCCCCCCAAATTTCTGTCTTATTAGCAAAGGAATTGTTAAGGGCATATTGTAAGTGAAACACTTAAATAATATTCTTTCCAGACTGTGGTCTTCACAAGCTAGTCTTAACGGATCATGATCCTCTTTTCCACTTTGGTTTGCTTCATGCCGAAAGTGTCACTGGTAGATGACTTCAAGTCTTGATACCATTGGACTGTTGTAGTATTGAGTTTTTTTTTTTAACTGAAGACTCTAAGACATATGGTAGAATATTTTGTTTTCATTAGATTACCATTTCTTTTTATATTTAAACCATGAATAATTATAAGTAGAATTTCCTCAAATAAATTTTATCATAATGTAACTTTTAACCTTTGCTTACTGAAGTGTCCTGGAGAGACTTTTTATTCTAATAAACAAAGGTGATGTTTGTCCAGTTTCCTTAGGAGCTATCAAAACAGATTGAATAGGTGAAGATATATAAGGATGGCAAATGATTGGTTACTGAGGTCTACAGCATTGGCTGTTGTCCTCGCTTGTCTGAGGTTTATGGTGAAGCAGAGACAGAACACCGATAATGGAAGCACTGTGTGTCCTCAGAGAAAGCTGGCTGAAAGCTTTGGTGACTATGACCATGCACTTTTCCAATGCAGGCATGGACTTCCCAGAGATTAGATAGGCAGGCCCCATTCACCCCTACTTCCTGTTGGTGCAAAATTCTATTGTTAGAATTTTTGTGTGTGTGCTTTTAAACTTTTATTTATTTTTATTTATTTTTAACGTTAAGAATAAAGATATCCTGTTTTCTCTTGAACCTCTTGAAATATAAAACCATGAATGTTCACAGGCACAAAGGTTAAGTCAAAACTCTTAGCCACCTGGTTTATTTTATTCCCCAGATGACTTCCCCAGGTGCTTATATTGCTCTGTGTGGCATTCGCAGACCCCGTACCCCAAACCAGATCCTGAAGTGGCAGTTCCTGGTAGAGAACTGGGAGGAATCAGTTTCTTCAACAGTCTGCATTATTGTCCTGCCGGTCTCCCCAAACCTCAGCTACACAGTGTAATAACATACACTGTTTTATATTCTCCCCGGGACTTTGGCCAAGCCATTTATTTTTTATTTATTTTTAATTTTTTTAAAAGATGACCAGTAAGGGGGTCTTAACCCTTGACTTGGTGTTGTCAGCACCACGCTCACCGAGTGAGCTAACCGGCCATCCCTATATGGGATCCGAACCCATGGCCTTGGTTTTATCAGCACCACACTCTCCCGAGTGAGCCACGGGCCGGCCCTGGCCAAGCCATTTAAAGTGTTTTTCACAAAGGAGAGATCTGATTATGTAGCCATTTATGAGTATATTATAATAATAAATGGTGTCAATTTTTTATCTCTAATTGAAACCCTTTCCTTTTTTATTTTCATTTTGCTTTTTGAAAAGATAATCGTCACAATCATACTGGGACTGGTTATAGGTGCCATTTTCTTTGGGCTTCAAAATAATACTGCTGGAATCCAGAATAGGTAAGTATATTTGAATCTTGATTTTGGGAAAGTGGTGTTACTTTATTCAAGCTTATGAAAATTCATTGGGGGGCCGGCCCGGTGGCGCACTTGGTAGAGTGTGGTGCTCGGGAGCGCTGTGGCGCTCCTGCCGAGGGTTTGGATCCTATATAGAGACCGGTCCGCTCACTGGTTGAGCGCGGTGCGGGCGTGACACCGAGGGTTGCGATCCCGTTACCAGTCACGAAAAAAGACAAAAAGGAAAAAAAAAAAAAAAGAAAATCCATTGGGAATTTGAATTGTCTTAAGACAAATACAGGGTAAATGTCACTGTCTTATTGAGGGGTAGGATGAGTCAGTGAATTGAAAGTTGGATGGAAGAGTTAATTTTTTTTTTCCACACATACACATATGTACTATGTATGTAATGGTAAAATATACAGAGCATAAAATTTACCCTTTTAACAATTTTTTTAAGTGTACAGTGTACAGTTCAGTGAGATGAAGTATATTCACATTATTATGCAACAGTTACTACCATCCAACTCCAGAACTTTTTTCATCTTCCCATACGGAATCTCTGTACCCATTAAACAATTACTCCCCGTACCTACCTCCCGCTACCCCTGGCAATCACCGCTCTACTTTCTGTCTCTGAAATTGACTACTCTAGGAACTCACAGAAATGGAATCTTACAGTATTTGTCCTTTGGTTACTGGCTTATTTTTCTTAGCATAATGTCCTCAAGGTTCTTCCACGTTGTACCATCTGTCAGAATTTCTTTCCTTTTTAAGGCTGAATAATATTCCATTCTATGTGTATACCACATTTTGTTTATCCATTTATCTGTTAATGGAAAACTTGGATTGCTTTCATGTTTTTGCTATTGTGAGCAGTGCTGCTATTGTATTGTGCCGGCCAGTTAGCTCCGTTGGTTAGAGCATGGTGCTGATAACACCAGGGTTCGTGGTTTGATCCCTGTCCTGGCCAGCCACCAAACAAAAACAAAAAAACAGTGCTGCTATGAAAATGGATGTACAAATATCTGTTTGAGTCCCTGCTTTCAGTTCTTTGGGTATATGCCTGCAAATAGAGTTGCTGGATTATATGGTAATTCTGTTAATTTTCTGAGGAACTGCCAGACTGTTCCACTGCAGCTGTGCCATTTTACATTCTTACCAGCAGTGCACAGGAATTCCAAACTCTCCATATCATCATCAGTTTTTGTTATTTTCTTTTTATTTCTTTTTTACAAAAAATAATGGATCCATTGGATCATCTTTGAAGAAATGTCTATTCATGCCCTTTGCCCATTTTAAAATTGGACTGTTTTTTTTGTTGTTGTTGAGTTTGTAGGGGTTCTTTATATTTGGGTGGTATTAATCTCTTATCAGATATGTGATTTGCAAATGTTCTCTCCCATTCTGTGGGTATCTTTTCACTTTGTTGACAGTGTTCTTTGATGCATAAATGTATTTTTATTTTGAGGCAGTCCAATTTATCTATTTTTTTCTTTTGTGGCCTGTGAGCTAATTTCCTTTGTGTTTGGATTTGTTTGACTTGGGGGCACTTAAGTGAGTGTTGTTATTCTTCACTAATTTCAGTCATACTGTGCCCTTAAATATCTGCTTTCATGATGAGACTTTCTAGTGGTCTGGATCATGTTTTGAACATATGTGCTCAGTGTGCTGGCACAGACCTCAGCATTCTCTTCATGTATTGAGATCTGCTCTGTGCACTGGACGTCACAGTCTCAGGTTCCCTCCCTATGGCCAGAGGGGTTAGGTGGTCTTACCCCATCTTACTACTGAGAAAAGTTGAAGTTTAGATTGAATCTATTTTGATGTCTGCTGAAGGCTGATTTTTTTTTTTTTTTAAAAGATGACTGGTAAGGGGATCTTTACCCTTGACTTGGTGTTGTCAGCACCACGCTCACCCAGTGAGCTGACCGGCCATCCCTATACGGGATCGGAACCTGGGGCCTTGGTGTTATCAGCACCGCACTCTCCCGAGTGAGCCACGGGCCGGCCCAGGCTGATTATTTTTAAAAGAAAGATAAACATAGAAGTAGATTCCTCACTCAGGTAAATATATTTTCTTTTGTATGGAATCAGATAGTGTTACTCTACAATGAGATTATTATTACAGCTTCTTTCCAGAGTTATGTCATTGTTTATCTTTTTACCTTCTCTGAGGGCTGAGATCTCTGAATTGTTTTCAAACTTGCTAGTAATTGATGGTTTGTACCCTGTGTAGATGCTGTTTCTTAACCCAGCACAGAATATCACACAGGATCTAGAGTCTGTGGACCTTTTATATTATGCAGTAGGAAGCACTTGAAAAAAATATTGGCAAACCTATCCTCAACTGGGATTTTAAAGATGAACTGGGAATTTAGCCATTAAAGCTCTTGAAAAAAACCCAGAGAAATAAAGAGGAGCTTTAGTTGTTTCTTCAAATGTTTTCTGGAGAAATAGGACATTAATTTTATTTTAATTTATATTTTTGACTTATGTTTGCTATTATTTTTTAATAAGAATTTGGACTGTGTGAAAGTGGTCTGTGTGTGTGGTTTATCTAATCTCTGCTGGGATGATTAGTGGTTGATTCTTTTGATTAAAAAAAAAAAATCTCTGGAACCGAGTTGTCAAAGTTTTGTTCAGGGGTGAACGTCAGTACTTCATTTGGAATTGCTTGGGAGGGGAAGTTTAGTTCTCTCTGGAGAAGAGCTGTGGCAGAGATGCAAGCACTCTCTTCACACTTTCCCTAAACTGCATGTCTGAGAAACCGGGTTTTAACCATGTGTAGAGCATGACCTTCTTTGACTTAATAGTTACCTCTGAACTAAATGGCTTACAGAGTTGTGGTGATAGCTAAAGTTAGTGTACATTAAAGAAAAGATATTTTTTCAAAATAATATTCAGGTCCAGCAATCCCATTTCTGGGTATTTACCAAAAAGAGTTGAAATCAGTATGTGGAAGACAGACCTGCAGTCCCATGCTATTGCAGCACTCTTCACAGTAGCCAAGTTATGGAATCAACCTAAGTGTGTATCAGCACATGAATAGATAAAGAAAATGTGGTGTATGTACACAGTGGAATACTGTTCAGTCTTAAAAAAAGAGAAATTTTGTCATTTGCAACAATGCGGATGGAATTGGAGAACATTATGCTAAACACAGAAAGACAAATACTGTTCTCACTTATATGTGGAATCTAATCAGAAGCAGAGAGTGGAATAGTGGTTGTCAGAGGCTGGGGGGATGGGGAAGTGAGGAGATGATGGTCCAAGGGTATGAAGCCACAATTAGACAGGAGGAGTGAGGTTTTTCTCCTTTGAGATACATCGCGCAGCGTGGTAGCATAGTAAATAATAATAATGTATCGTACATTTCAAATCTCTTAAGAGTAGATTTCAAATTTTCTCACCACAAAAATGGTAAGTATTTGAGGTGATGCACATATTAATTAGTTTGATTTAATTATTCCTTATTGTATTCATAAATCATAACTTGTACCCCATAAATATATACAACTATAATTTGTCAATTATAATTAAATAAAAATTAAAGAAAATCGTATGGAGATTAGTAAGTAAATAATAACTGATGTGGATTACCACCTTGAAAAGGATTAGAATGCATTAAATTCTTTAATAACAAAAAACTGTATCTGGTATAAAGCAAATCACCTTATATTTTAGCAAGAATTTTTTTTTTTTGTAAAGATGACCGGTAAGGGGATCTTAACCCTTGACTTGGTGTTGTTAGCACCACACTCTCCCAAGTAAGCCATGGGCTGGCCCTTTTTAGCAAGAATTTCACTGTCTACTTTTTCAGAATCTTTATGAACATTACTTTTAGATGTAAGACAACAAATTGAACTGAATCTTTGCTGTGTTCCATGTTTCTAAAATTAGTTTTAACTTGATATTAGGTTTATTTGTGTATGGAAAGAAGCATGGCTGCTTGTGTACGAGGCCTGGCAGTTTCTATTCAATTTAATTATTGTATAAATACTTTTGAAATAGCTGGTTCCTTACTTTTACTTTTTAGGTTTTTTTAAAAAATAGAGCTTCTATGGGTACTTTTTTTTTTATTTTAAGGTAGTTGGAGTTGTTCACTTGGGTTTACATTTTTTAAAATGTTCTCTTGTTTTTGTGCCATTTAAATGATGTGTCACTTCATCTCTTTTTCAATTTCAACTCACATGTTCAATGGCAATTAAATTGTTTAGTTATGAAGGGAAGCCCATCCCTGTTTCAAGAATGTTGGCATACTTTCACAAAATCCATGTTTCTGTCAAAGTGTAGATTAACTGCGTACTTTCGTTTTTGAACCTTAGTTATTTTTTTACTGAGTAATAAGCATTAATGGTCTTCCTTTTCATACAGGTGTACAAATTAGTTTTTTCTTTATAAATAAGCATCACTTTCTTTTTTTTTAGAACTTTGGAGGCCAGCAGGAGGTTGTTTGTCTTAGTGTGTCAAGGGTAGCAGTGAGGCTTTGTTGGTGGTGGTGTGGATCGTGTAATAAGGTGGTGAAGGAGCTGTCCCTCTGCCATCTCTCATTTTACTCAACTTTAAAACCAAAGTGGCTAATTGAATTTTCTAATCTTTGCAGGCTTTAGTTAGCTTACTGTTTCTCTGTTCATACATTAGGAATGGTACTTTGGCATTTTTATGAGATAAAATTCAAGATGTAGGTCTCAGGCTGCCATCGCAAAAGACCATAGACCAAGTGGCTTAAGCAACAGAAATTTATTTTCTCTTAGTTGTAGAGTCTGGAAGCCTGAGATCAGGGTGCCAGCATGGTTGGGGTCTGGTGCGGGCTTCCTTCTTGGCTTGCAGGTAGTCACCTGTTACACTTTCCTCTGTGTAACCAAGACGAAAAAAAGAGAAAGAATTCACTCAAGGTAACATGAATGAGGCCTGGAGAGACTGCCACCCGTCAGAGGAGCAGCCCCAATCCAAAATCAGCCTTTCTTTTTATTGACAAGACAGGAAGTTTCACAAGAAAAATCAGTTGATTCAATCATCAAAGAAGGACATAAAAAGAGGCAGTGTTACAGAAGGGAATTATAGCTAAGTATAGCTTTAAACAACTAAAACTAGTAATAGCAGTAAAATTAACAATGTAACATTCCAGAATGCAATTTGTAAAAAGCTAAGTCGATCCACCAACAAACAGCTTGCTCTTAGTAAACATTTTCTTTTTCACATACTTCTTACAGCGATTTCTTTAGCATATTTAAACAGCATTCAAGCCGTTCCTTAGCATATCTTAAGAACAATGAGTAGGTTAAATAGGTTAAATAGTCAATAGTCATTCAAGCCGGAATCAAACCAGCAACCTAAAACAGTCAAAGTACACAATCCCATCCCTCAACAGTGATTAGAATTGATAAGATGGCTTTTGCCAAACTTATCTGTGGACTACCTGTCGTCCCCTACTCAACAGCCTTTTGGCTCATTCATGCAATTACCTAAAAATCGTATTCTAAGATCAAAGGAGAATCAAGATTTCTAACCCACTACAGCCACCTTCTTGCAGTGTGCTCAGGTCGGGGAGAGAGAGTGCACTCTCTGGTGTGTCTTCTTATAAGGGCACTAACCTCAGCTAAACCTAGTTACCTCCCAAAGGCCCCATTTCCTAGCACCATCACTTTGGGGGTTGGGACTTCAGCATATGAATATATGTGGACATAATTTAGTCCACAGCAACTTAAGACTGTGAATTTCAAAATGTGCCACTGTGGAAACATAAGAGATGGGGGAGAGACTTGATGGGCCTCCTGTTTCTCTCTGTTTTAACCAGAACAGTTTCACTTTTTTCTAAGGTTTTTTTTCCTTTTGGTAGCTGGCCAGTATGGGGATCTGAACCCGTTATCCTGGTGTTATAAGGCTGTGCTCTAGCCAACTGAGCTAACCCTCCAGCCTGTCTAAGGTTTTAAGATATCATTTGCAAAAGAGTTTTGTGTGTAGAAAATTGATCTGAGAATGTTGAATTGACTGCAGTGCTCTCGTGCCCTTTCCCTCCTGGCAGAGCGGGGGTACTCTTCTTCCTGACGACCAACCAGTGCTTCAGCAGCGTGTCGGCTGTGGAGCTCTTTGTGGTGGAGAAGAAGCTCTTTATGTGAGTAGATCACTGTTCTGGGAAGGGCACTGTCCAGCACCAGGGGCTATTGGTCAGACTGTTCACATCCAGAATTGGGCTGAGGATGG